TCATCCAAATGGCGGGCCATAAATGTTTGCCTTTCGGTAGTTTAGCTCTGGCCTCGAACTTGCCGTATGTCCAGCCCTTATGGGAGTCCATTCGGGCGGATGTGAAGTGTCGGCCCCCCTGTTCCTCGACGCGGGCCTGAATGACAAGGTGTCCGTTCTCTACTCGAGCGTTGTTTGTGTGCTTTTGTGTGTAAAACTCGAGCTCATTATTACCCCAACCTTTAAATGTAATACAATTGTAGACATTTGCGCGAACAATGAGGTGAATTGAATGCTATACCTCCGCCTCCGGTCTGATACCACCACTCGGCATCACTCGGACTTCCACTCCCGTTGAACTCCTCAGACCAGACCTGATGCCAATCCGCCGCACAACCACTTAATAAAGTGGCAGACAATAGGAATAGCACTGAAAACATCATTTTCTCTGCAATTGAGTACTGAATATAATTGTATTTTTGTTCCCTTTTTATAGCATTTGATTGCAATCACAATTCAATGATAATTTGCTTTTGCATTAGAGCTCTACTTTTTTAATCTACTGAATTGTGCGTTCATTTGCTTATCGGCGGCTCTTTTCTCACAAAATTATCCACAAATGTATTCAATTAATGCTATTATTGGTTGTGCTTTAAGACACATACATTATTAAGTGATACACATAAAAGCATCTCAGATAAAGTGCATTAAGTTTAAGTTAAGTAGAAGTATTTGCGTACACTTTGACCGATTTAATATTACGCTATTATACTTTCATGCTTACAAAACTACATTGATCACTTTTCTTAAATTCATAATTAATCTTTGTAAAAATATAAACTAGAATAATATACATTTATTCTGTTAACTTAAAGCACTCTATATTTAACCTTGTAGTTTAATTTAATGCAACCCTTAATAAGACCTCTCAATACTTTTCAATAAGAATTGGTATTTTTAATATTGTTGATTAATAATATATATTATTAATATAGTGTTACATAATATGTTTTCAACTAATATAATCAAATAATAGATATTAAAACAGTTGCTGCTGCACCAGGATGAAACTGTACATTGCAATACAACATTTTAACCTAATTCTGGGCACATATATAGTACATATAAAACATTAAAAATTATTTTTAGTTGAAAAGTTTATAGATCTGTGAGATATAACTCTCAATGAAACAATGATATTTAAGTGGTTTAAAATTATTAACTTATTAATTTGTTAAAAATTATAAGTACCCATAATACACCATAATGAAAGTGTTTGTTACCTTGATATCAACTCTTATTTTTCAAGTATTTACATTTATTATCAATATCTTGTTTATTTGAAAAATTGCTCTCTCTCTCTCTCTCTCTCTCTCTCTC